CAGACTCTGAGCTCTGAGAAGGTAAGGCCACTGTCTGTCTTACTCAGCATTCAGCACTGGTGTTCTCAGCGTAGGTCTGGCGGGCCCAGGATAAATATATGTTGAATGAATGAATGTCTCCCTCACTTGACTGTGAGCCCCTTGAGAGCAGAACTGGCTATACAGGTCCTGAGCTTTTTTTTTTTTTTTTTCCTTAATTAAATGGAATTGAAATACTTGGAAGGGATACTTAACCAAGCCTGGGAAACCAGAGAGACTTCCAAGAGGAGCTGATACCTGTAAGAGGCCAAAAGGATGAGAAGTTAACCTATGTAGAGGAAGGAATGTAGAAGTGGAAATGCACTTTAGGCAAGAACAACAAAGGCTGAGGGGAGCCCAGTGAGTTCCCAACACTGCTAGTCATTTGTTTGGAACTTAGGGCACGTGAGCGTGTGGTTGCAGAGAGGCTGGGTCACCCACCCCTGTGTTCATTGGTTGATTCCGTAAATATTCCTTGATCTTCAGAGTGTCCTGTCCTGGTGCTGACCTGTGCTTTTGAGGAGTTTGTGAATTAGCTAGAAGACACTTTTAGTATAGTAGAGAACTTCTGAGGGGTTTAGGAAGAGATGGGTGACATGATCAGATATTTATTCTAGAACAGTGCTTCTCAATTATCTGTGATGAAGAGCTTAAAAAAAATAATTTCCAGTCCATCAGAGACTGATAGTAAGGTGACAAGAAAAGACAAAATACAAGTCCCTGGGTTTTTTTTTTTTTAACTTATTAGAGAGCAAGGTGGGTAGAGGGGCAGAGGAGAGGGAGACTCCCCACTGAGCAGGGATCCTGACACGGGGTTTGATCCCAGGACCCCAAGATCACGACCTAAACCACCAGGTGCCCCCCAACCCGCGTGTTTCTTCATATTCAATTCAGTAGGATGTGATTTCTGTGAAATTGTCATAAAGGTTTCTAAATGCCTACTCTCACTTTCCATACTTAACATAGACCACTGGTACCAGTTTGCAAACAGCAGTGGTCTACAGGCTGTCCTTTACGTAGTAGCACTGGTCAGAGAGATCACATCTTGGATGCAGATGGAGAATTATTTGGAGGGGGATCAAATGGAGACAGAGAGGCTGGTGGGGAGGCTGTTTCTCTGATGCAGGCAGTGGTGGTGATGGTCTGGACTGGGATGTGGCAGGTAGAGATAGAGATCCTGGGGGTAAAAGCCCCAGCTTTGTGGAAGGAGAGGGGTGAAAGGTAAAGGTAGGAGTTAAAGATGCTTAAAGATGCTTTCTAGTCTTCTGGCTTGGGCACCTGTGTTGGCTAATGGTGACATTGACTTGAGAATCGACCTGAAAGAGCTAGAAGTTTGAGGGAGGGTGATGAGCTCAGTATACTGAACACACACATATTTTTCTTTTGAGGTATAATCAACATACAGTATTGTTTCAGGTTCATATTTGTGTATATTGCAAAATGATCACCACAGTAAGTCTGGTTAACATCTGTCACCTGAGCATATTAAGTTTGAGGTGTATGGGGGACCTCCAGGAGAAGAAGTCCAGGAGGCAGCTAGAAACAGGGTCTTGAGAGCAGGTTTAGAACCAGTGTGGTCTTTGATAGAGAAAAGGAACTTCCCTAGTCTAGCCTAACATTGACTCCTTCCCGGGGTTTCTGACTGGCTGGCTCAGTTGGTGGTGGTGCTTTTTGTCCCCGAGGAGGGTCTGGGGGTTGGGGCATGGCAGGAGGGAGGCAGGGATGTGTGCAGGGGCATGTGCTGGGAGTAGGATTCAGGCCCCTTTTCTTTTAAGGTTTTTTTTTTTTTAATTTATTTATTTGACAGAGAGAGATCACAAGCAGGCAGAGAGGCAGGCAGAGAGAGAGAGGAGGAAGCAGGCTCCCCGCCTAGCAGAGAGCCCCGCAGCTGGGAGTAGGATTCAGGCCCCTTTTCTGTAGAGAGATGAGACTTTGGCCTGCTCTGGGGAGCTGCAAGTCTCATTGTCGCCACTGGGTGGCAGCAGTGCTTCAGAGAAGGGTTCCCCAGACTCGGGCATCCTGGGCCTTTCTCCAGTATTTAGCCATCTGCTCTACTCCAGAGTTAACCTTTGGACTCCACAGAAGCCCTTACATGTGAGCCCCTCACCTTAACCCTGGGGACAGGAGCATGTATCCTGTTACTGAGGTTCTGGAGCTGAAGGCATGGTCACATTGCTCCTGGGCCCAATCCAGAGGCGGGCTGCAGTCCTAGCCTGCTGGGGTCTCTGGGCAAGCAGCGTGTTTCCTCACCTGGAAACATCATTTCCAGGCTGCAATGTGCGGGGCTCTAGGCAGAGGGTTTGCTTTGGTCCCGCCTAGGAATGGGCGGTACACAGATCACAGGCTGTGACCACAGGGGGCTGAAGCCTGCTGGCCATGACGTGGTATGCCCCTACTCTGTTCCTCTGTGCCAGTAGACCGTGCAGGTTCCCGTGTACTCAGAGCAGGAGTACCAGCTGTACCTCCACGACGACGCCTGGACTAAGGCAGAGACGGACCATCTCTTTGATCTCAGCCGCCGCTTTGATTTACGTTTTGTAGTAATCCACGACCGCTATGACCACCAGCAGTTCAAGGTGAGCTGGTGTTACGCATTTGCATGTGTGTCCCACCCCTGTGCCTGGCCAGCCCCCTGCCTTCATGAGACCTCGTCCCTGTGCCTCTGGGCACTCACCGTCCATTCCCACCTTGTCACAGAAGCGTTCTGTGGAGGACTTGAAGGAGCGGTACTATCACATCTGTGCCAAGCTTGCCAATGTGCGGGCTGTGCCAGGCACAGACCTCAAGATACCAGTGTTCGATGCTGGGCACGAGCGGCGGCGGAAGGAGCAGCTGGAGCGTCTCTACAACCGGACCCCAGAGCAGGTCAGTCCCTGAAGCCCTCTGCTTTCATCCCGCAGGCTCGCAGTTCCCTCCCCTCTGGGTTCTGCCACCGCCCCGCTAGTCCTTCCTCGCTAGCCACTCTCCCCACTCCCCACCCCCCCCCCCCCCCCCCCGTCCCCCTGCCCCCCGCGGTGGGCCCCGCCCACGCCCGGGGGGCCCCGCCCCCCCCCCCCCCCCCGGCCCCCCCCCCCCCCCGCCATGCACCCTCACACTTGAGGTGTCTCGCTTTCCCAGGTAGCAGAGGAGGAGTATCTGCTGCAGGAGCTGCGCAAGATTGAGGCCCGGAAGAAGGAGCGGGAGAAGCGCAGCCAGGACCTGCAGAAGCTGATAACGGCGGCCGACACCACCGCAGAGCAGCGCCGCACCGAGCGCAAGGCCCCCAAGAAGAAGCTACCGCAGAAAAAGGAGGCGGAGAAGCCGGTGCGGAGACTGAGTCAGCCCAGTTCAGGGTGCAGAGCTCCGAGGGCACCCAGAGCTGGCAGGGCGTCGGGACTAACCCTGGGCCCTCCTGCCACTGTGCCTCGGTCTCCATAACTTCTTCTCCCCCAGGCTGTTCCCGAGACTGCAGGCATCAAGTTCCCAGACTTCAAGTCCGCCGGTGTTACCCTGCGGAGCCAGCGGGTACATGTCGCCTCCATCGCCGTGCTGGGGCCCTAGGCTCCCTGCAGCCTGCGCATGGCAGCCGTGGCCCTGGAGCCCCCCCGGGGGGGGGCATGTGCTTCAGAGAGAGGTCTTGGGGGTGTGGCCGGGCTGAAGTCTAAGCTCTTGCTCTGTTCCACAGAGCTCCTTCCAAGGGTTCACTTCTCTCCCGCTCCCCTTGCCTTTGGTCCCCGTTGTCCTTAACCACTCGTCGGGGAGAGGGCTTAGTATCCTGGGTCATTGCAGATGAAGCTGCCAAGCTCCGTGGGACAGAAGAAGATCAAGGCCCTGGAGCAGATGCTGCTGGAGCTTGGTGTGGGTGAGTGGGGACTGGGCCCACGGGACCTGGCCGCCTGTGGCTCACGATCAAGGCTGGGCGGGGAAGGGCACTTCGTGTCGCTGGCCTTCCCGCACACCCTGGCTCTGCCTGTGCCCTCCACCCACCGCCTGCAGAGCTGAGCCCGACGCCCACGGAGGAGCTGGTGCACATGTTCAACGAGCTGCGGAGTGACCTGGTGCTGCTCTACGAGCTCAAGCAGGCCTGCGCCAACTGCGAGTACGAGCTACAGATGCTGCGGCACCGGCACGAGGCCCTGGCCCGGGCCGGTGTGCTTGGGGGCCCCGCCACGCCAGCGTCCGGCCCAGCCCCAGCCTCTGCGGAGCCGGCAGTGCCTGACCCCGGTCTCGGCCCCGACCCCACCAAGGACACCATCATTGATGTGGTGGGCGCGCCCCTCACACCCAATTCGGTAAGAGCCCAGTTGGGCAGGGGGAGCGCGAACGGCCGGCCCCGCTCCCTCCAATGCCCGCAGTTACTGTGATGGGGTTCTGAGACTGAGGGCAGGACTGGGTGGCCATGGGCATCACCCGCCCTGAGTGTGAAACGCATGCACCGAGCCCGAGCAGAGCTTGGGGGCACCATTGACTCCATTGCCTTCTGTGTCTTCTCAGAGGAAGCGACGGGAATCAGCCTCCAGTTCCTCTTCTGTGAAGAAAGCCAAGAAGCCATGAGAGGCCACAGTGGGTGCGGGTGCTGCTGTGTAAATAGAGCTGCTGAGTCGGACTGGGCTGCTTCCTTTTCCTTCCCACCCCTGGCTAGGGGGGCGGGGGGTGCAGTCACCACACCCACTCGACAGGGGTGGCCTTGGGACCTGCCTGTGTGGATGCCCCGAGAAGCCTTCTCACCACTGCCAGTGTTGCCCAAACATCTGTACTTGGTTCTGCTCTCAAGATGGCTTACACATAGCAGTGGCTTCAGATCCAGCCACTTCGAACACTGCCTTGTGCTTAGACAGTGCCCATGGCCCTGTGCTTATTCAGGGAGGGTCTCACAGGTGCTCCAGTGACTGCCAGCCACTCCAGTGGCCTTTAGCCCCAGAGCAGCCTAGAACACACGCTAACCCCTGTGCACCTTGGACGGCATCAGGCACAGCAGCGCCCAGTCCACACACACCCACAGCCTCGTTTCCCCGACTTTATTCAGTGGCACGTTCACAGCGGGGATGGGGGTAGACACAAGGTGGGGCCTGATCTGTCCTGGAGCCCTGGGGGCACCACACACCATGCACTACAGATGGGAGGGGGCACAGGGGGGCTCGGTGGCCCCAGCAGAAGCCTGTGTACCAGGGAAGAGGCGGTGAGTGCCTGGGTCCCCCTAGCCCAGGCCCACAATGGGAGGGGCTAATACTGGGCTGAGGTTGAGGGATTGGGGTGGGGGGCACAAAGTGTCTGCTCCAGAGGGGCCGATTGGCCAAGCCCTTACCCAAGGCACAAGCCCACAGGGCAGGCTGGGGGACACTCTGGATGTAGAGCTGTGCCACTCTCCCTTTTCCCCTCTGGTGAGGGAAAGGAGGGTTCTGGGCTGGGCCAAGCAGCTACCCTGTCCTGCCCCATCCCGTCCTCGGCCAATCAGAACGGCTTTGATGTCTGCTTGAAGATGAAGCCTTGATACGCAAGTGTCTTCATGATGTTGGCAATGTTCTTGCAGTCATCTGAGAAGAGAAAGAGAGGACATTTAGATGGGGCCCAGATCCTTCCCCTCTGTGCCCACAGGTGCTCTTACATGGCTGGGGGAGGGGAGCAGGGTCAGATTCAGGAGCCACAGGCTCTTAACCAGGGGGTCCTGTCCCCTGGTGGCGGCATCTCCAGCCTTACGTTGGGCTGGATGAGGCTGGGCCAGCAGGAAGCATGATCTCAATGCTGCTCGGTCCCATAATTCATGCTGGAAATTGGCCGGCATGTCCCGCCCCAGCCCCAGCGGTGATGTATGGGTGCCGTCGCAGTAAGAAAAAGGCAGAGTAAATGTGTAATTTCTCCCTTGACGGCCCCCGGCCGCTGGGCGATCCTTCTTGTTGCCGCCGCGTGGGGACGGCCCGTCCGCCACACTCCGTCTTCCCGCCACCCGCCTTGATGTCTCCATTTCATTACTGTGCGGCCATTCATCACGCCCATGGCCAGGGTGACTTTGCCGGCACTTGCGTGTGTGCGTGTGTGTGTGTGTGTGTGTGTGTGTGTGAGAGAGAGAGAGAGAGAGAGAGATGTGGCCCAGGCCATAATGGCTGGTAACAAAGCACAGGCCTTGGCACTTTTGGGCCGAGAGCCTGGGAAGCCTGCTCTGGGCCCCAGGCTTGTGCGCTCCCAACAGCAGCCTGCCTGGGCCCCTTCTCCTGTGGAGCCCAGAGCAGTAGAGAGGGTCCAGGTCTGCAGTCCTCCCACACCCTGGCCCGCAGTCCTCCACTAGATGTGCCTGTGTGCTCAGGCTAAGCTCTGCTTCTCCCACCCCACTAAGTTTGAAGCTGGTGCCGGTCAGGCTTCAGTAGTCCTGTCTCTGGCTGTATCTAAGTACATCTGCTCCTGCCAGACCCTGTCACGGCAGTTTCTCCAGTACTGATCCCTGTGAGAACCTCCTGGAACCCTGGCGGCTGCAGGAGCAGGTACTCTGGGCCTTCAGTATCATGGACACCCACCAGGACTTGTTCTAATGCCACCAGCAGGAGGTGCAGCTGCCCAACACTCGTCCCTCTACAGAAAGCCAAGGACGGAAATACCCAAGTGGCCAGAGTTTTTCTGTTCCACTGCCAACAACACCAGTCCGCTCCCCATCCCTTCGCCTGCCTCTCCTCCCATCCCTCTCCCACCTCCTACAGATGCTCCTGGGCCATAACCAGGACCTCAGCCACTACCAGCCCTCATGGGATCGATGCCGTGATTGCAGAAGCATTATACTTCGATGTCATAATCAGGTGCGGGGCGGTGGTAAGGTCAAGGTGGGGTCAGGAGGCCTCTGCATCTGTCAAGGGCCAACTCCTTCCATTGAGCCCTTCAGCCTGCCCTTGCTAGAACCTTAGACTAAGAAACAGGGCCCAACGGAGCTAGAGAAGGGCTGTGGGAGGGGAGTCAGTCGGCCCAGGTCCCATGTCATTAGCCAGACACGACTCTGAGCCCTGTTTAGGGCAGACCAGTCGCACACGGTCCTCTTTAGCCGCCTCTACATGAACATACTCAAGGGGGATACAGACATGTAAAAGTGATACAGGACCCAGACACGGGGACACCCTTTTCCTCCAGGGACTCAAGAAGCCACGAGGGCTGGTCTGAGGCAGGACAGTGGGAAGACAGATGGGTGGGTAGTGGCGGCCATGGCAACTCCAGACGTGACCCGTCCCCGTGGTTTATGGGCCGGACACGCACCCCGCTCAGCTGAGGCCCCGTCATTTGTCTCCCTTAGTGTGTATGCCTGTGCTGTGGGGGTAGAAGTTGGAGGGAGGGGGCTGCGACAGGAGTGAGGCAGCTGACAGGAAGGAGAAGGGGGCAGGAAGATCTGTGTAGGAGGGGCAGGCTGGAGATGGGGCAGGAAGGGCCCTGGGAGCAGGAAGGTTTATGATAGGGTCCAGAGGCTGTGATGGCACCGTCAAAAGGTGCTACGATAGGATGATTTTCTTCCCAAAGATGTCTGGCCTTGTCAGGGCACCTCCAATCCTTCCTGTCTCCTGCACTCTGGGGACCACGGCCGCTGTGCATATTAAGAATAAGTCCCCTCGTTATCTGCAATTACCCAGCGGCCACACACCTCATTTCTTCCAGCAGAAAAGAAAATTAGTTTTCTATTGACTTCATCTGGCTCCTCCCTCATTGCTGGACAAATCGCTCAATCTGCCTCCCCCGACCCAAGTGAATGTGCCCAGCCCCTCCCCCCAGGCCACCAGCCATCCAGAGAGCCAGCACTGACCTCCCACTTGTGCCTGGCCCCAGTCAGTCCTTGACCTCTCCCCACTGGACACACTGGCTGGCTTCGTCCATGCCCTGAGTTTCAGCGAGCCCTGAAGATCGCCGTCTCCTGCCTGCACTTCTCCTGAGCTCTGGAACATCTCTTTCTAGATCATGTAAACCTCAAAAACATCCAGTAATGCACCAATGTCTGTCCCACATGTCTTCACTACCTAGTGTTCTCCATCCCAATGAACAGCAACCCAAGTGCTCCCAAAGAAGCCTGAGAATCGGGCTTGACATTTTGCCTTCTCCCTCCCCAATTCTCAAGCATCAACTGTGAATTTTATCTTCTTACTGTTTAATCATCTACTTCCCTTCATTCTGGCACCACCCCCCCACCCCCACCGCCCAGGGCAGACCCCATCATCTCTTGCTCTTACACAGCCTATCCTCTTTCTTCTCCCTCTAATCCATTCTCTTGTAGCCCAAGTGATCTTTCTTACACAAATCTGATCACATCCTTGTCTCTTTTAAATCCTTTCAATGGCTCCTGCTGCCCTCAGGTTCAAGGCTATATACTCTTTAATATGACTTAAAGGTAAAGGCCCTATAAAAAAAGGATCCCCGCTCTCTCTGGTCTCACCTCTGCCATTCTCTACCCCCAATCCCTGTCTTCCAATCTCCAGGAACCACTGTTTTCTGAAAATGACACAGACCCATTTCTAGTCTTTGCCCACTGGCTGTGTGCTTGTGGCAAGTGCTTAAGTTACTTTGAAGTTCAGATTCCTCCACTAGGGGTGATCAGGGATGCTACCTGTGTTAACTGTGAGCACTGAGCAGGTGTCCACACCCTGTCTTTGTCGGTACTCTAGGTTTGGAGTACTTCCTCTTTTTGGAGGGAAGGCAAGGATGCTAGTTTCCCCGGGTGACCCGACGGCGAGAAGGTAAATCCCGTACAATCTATGGCGCAGATGACAGAGAGGCCAGCACACGTGCTGAGACCAACTGGCATTCACTACACAAGCTCACACTGACTACTGATCCTGTTTACTGAGCATTCTGGAGTCTAACTTGTTGTAACTGGTCCACTACAACAAAGACCCAGACTGGGGAAGACACCTGCTTCAGTTCCCCAAGTCCGCAGTATGGCAGTTGTGGGCTTCTAGCCCAGGCTCTTTTTCTAGCCCCGGAAACCTCGTGAGCCAGTACAACCTACTAAACAGGTTAAAAAGTCAACGGTATGGTTAGAAGATGAGGAAATGGAGCAGAAGCAAAGAGACAAATCTGGGCCTTTTAACAGGCCACAAGTTCAGAGAGCAGCAGGGTGAGGCTGGTGACAACGTGGCCTCTGGGAGAGTCCTCTGCTTAAAGCCCAGGGGCCACCTGGTCAGCAGCTCCCCCTTCTGGAACCTCCCACCGAGCTAACGAGGCCAGCCTGACGCTGGCATGGTGTAGAAGGTGAGGGGCGGGAGGCACACAGCCTCTTGCCCACAACAGAGGCCTCCAAGGTAGGTCTTCCTTACCTTCAAATTCTAGAAGACTAGCCTGATTTTATGTTCCTGCAGGGTTATCAGCTTGTGACAGGATGACTCTCTTCTGTTTGGGGCATTAATATTCTTAACATTGGAAATATTTTTATGTTGCCAACTCCGTAAGGGGAGATGTGCAGCTGCTTAAATCTGTCAGAGGTGAGTGGGGCTAGCACCTGACAAAGGATAAGCTTGTTGGCTGGGCCCAAGGGTAATCAAATATCTGCTTGGCAAAGCTGCTAGTGGAAGGAGGGCTCAGACCACAGAGGGCACCCAGTGAGGGCTTACACAGAACAATGACCTGAGGCTGACACGGGCCAGTTAGGAGCGCTTGTCTGGGAGCCGAACAGTAGAGGGCTTCCGGGAAGCAGGGCCTGGGTGAGGGCCACCCTCAGGAGGCAAAGGGCCCAAGGAAATTCTTAGAGAACCATTTATTCGTGCATGCCTTCATTAAGCACACGCACACTGACACCTCTGCGTGCTGGGTGCACACGGGCCAAGCCGGGTCACGGGCCTGGCTGCAGACCCATCAGCAGTGCGGTGTGAGCAGTGCTGCGGGAAAAGTCAGCACAGAAAGGCACTGAGGATGGGGAAAGGGGTCCCCAGGGACAAAGCCAGGCAGAAGTCTAAGGGCATGTGGGAGGGGGCCCGCCAGCAAGCTGGGCTTGGAGTGGGGAGGTGACCCCGGCATAGTGAATAGCACACGGGCACCTGGCTGGAGGGGAAATGTAGTGTGTCCAGAAACAAGTACTTAAGTCTAGCAGGCGGTGGGGGTGCTGAAGAGTAAGAGGCAGGCGCGCGGCGAGAGACGAAGCCGGACAGGCTGGCAGCGACTGGCCAGAGGAAGCCCTGCAGACGGACGGGATGGCAAGCTAAGGAGTTTCAGAGCTTACTACCCTGGGAATGACGGGGAGACGCCAACCTAGGTGAGGAGGGACAAGACAGAACCACATCCGCATTTCATAATAATCACTCAAGGATTGGAGGGGTTAACCCTGAAGGCACAGACACCGGTTAGCAGACTGTACCATGGTCCAGGCCAGAAACAGTGGCCCAAAACTGGCCCAGTGGCGGTGGAGACAGAGGTGGGGATGTACGGATGGTGCGGAGATGTGGACAGAGGCAAGAGCTTTCAAAGGAACAGAATGAGCAAGGCTTACTGGGGGGAGATAGAGTGTGGGGCTATGGGTGGGGGGTGAGTCTAGGATCTTAGCACCACCCACAGAGGTAAGGCAAACCTGAGGTGGTGTAGG